ATAGATTATCTAATTCGTCTTGGCCAGTAGTAGCTAGTTTTGCACAAAACTTCAACATTATCAAAATAAATTGAGTGTCCTTGTTGGAACGCGTGTTCTGCTACTGCTGACAGTTGTATTTTGGAGAATTTAATATTCCTCTGATCTTCTTTTAGTCTCGTGCTGATTATTCGTCCTGTTTGCCCAACATAACATTTACCACACGTGCAGTTAATCCTGTACACACCTTCTGGTGATAGCTTCGGTAATACATCTTTTGTACTCGATATTAATTTATGTATTTTATGTACCATGCCAAATCTGACTCGGATGTTTTGTTTTTCCACACATCTGGCTAGTTTATCAGTTACTCCCGTATTTTGATTGTTTTAATTACTTGGGCAGTTTCAATGCTGTTGTTATATGATTTGATTTTGGTATTTAATGCCTAGTTGGTTTGTGCATCATTGTAACCGTTCATTTGCAGCCCTTCTTTAATATGTTGAATTTCACTTCTCAGACTGTGTCGGGTGGTGGCGGGTTTTAACGACACATTTATATATTTACGCGATCTAACCCAAAAACCTCTATTATGGATGATATTGGTCGCGAAAGCCTACGTGTTAAACTGACTCCTGCTATGTATTGCAAGGTGATGGTTTTGATTGGGTCCTCATATGGTTCTTTCCCAACGGTTGGGGTGATAGCTTTACATATTGTGTGGTCCGAATATCCATTCATCTTGAGAGCTTGGTGCACGTGTTCCAGTTCACTAGCTAGGTGATGATGGTCGGAAATACATCGAGCTCTATGGTGTAGAGTTTTGATGAGGGGATTCTTCTGGGATGCATGGTGGTGGGAGTCGGGTTTAGGTAGGCATCTGTATGAGTTGCTTTCCTGTAGACAGAGTGTCCCATTGAGCCATCTGGTCTCTTTTTGATTAGAACACCCAAGAATGGTAGCTTGCCATCCTTTTCCACCTCCATGGTGAATTTGATGGCTGGGTGTATGGAATTAATGTGGTTGAGGAATTGGTTCAGAGCTGGTCGGCCATGTGGCCAGATAATGAACGGGTCATCTACGTACCTCTTCCACAAGGACGAACAAAGAGTGGATGCCTCGATGACATCTGTCTCAAATTTGTCCATGAAAACATTGGCTACAACTGGAGAAAAAGGAGATTCCATTGAGGTACCTTCAACTTGTTTGTAGAATGTTACATTCCAGATGAAGTAAGTGTTGGTGAGGCAGTGTCTCACCAGGGCCAGTACATCAGCATTCAGTCCTTGTTGGACCAAATCTTCAATGATTGCAATGGTGTCAAGCACAGGAACTTTGGTGAACAAAGAAACTACATGGAAACTAACGAGCAAATCACCTAGAGATAGTGAGATATCCTTAATTAAGGATACCAAGTGAGCCGAGTTACGTACAACTGAGGTGGTCTTACCAGTGAATGGTTGCAAGGTCTCAAACAGAAATTGGGCCAGTTTGTAGGTGGCGGAGTCAATGGTGTAGACGATGGGACGAAGGGGTGTACCTTCTTTCTGTTTTTTTGGTAAGCCATACATTCTGGGAGGTCTATCAAAAGAGGGTTTTAAGGAAACCATTTGGTTTGTTCAATTAAGAGGCTGTTGGTGGGATCTCTTTTAATTTTTGTTTAGCTACCATCATTAAGTAGGTCCTGAATTTTGTTATTGTATGTGGTTTTGTTCATAATGATCGTGGCATTGCCCTTGTCGGCTGAGAGGATGATGATGTCATCAAAACTGATGTGTCTTGGCATTTTTAAGGATTGCATCGATTTCCGATTTTGCTACATCTGCAGATTTGAAACACGGTAGGACCAACACGTCGGCCGTGGCTGATCATTGTTTTAATGCGGTTGGCTCACGCGAAATTGATTTCTGTAAGACAAAGGTACTTTGTAAGCCCACTGGCTATTAACAAAGATTCGTTCATGAAGCCATCCACATATATAGACACAGACAATTTCAACCGAGAGGATGGGTACAAACTCAGCAATCATTGGAACGACGTCATCAACCAGTTTAAGTCATAACTAGCTGTGATGTTTCCATCCTGCCACCTTCCGATGTTAGTTTTTATTTTCCCCGTGGCTTCGGCTCTTCGATTTTACATTAACAGGTTAAACATAATATTCACACCAACATAGCCACCTCCGTGCGCCGACCTCGATGTGGCGGCTCTGCGATTTCACATGAACATGCTAATCTCTCACATTAACATTACTAGCCCCACCCACTTCGTTAATGACCCTTGGGCTACACCCATTTTATACCTTTAAAATAGTCTGCCTCAGCAGCTTTCCCCTTATTTTTTCGTCCTGATGACATTCGCATGTGTTGTCATCGAAACGTTTTTATTTTTATTCGTTTGAACCTATCTACGTGACTTTACCGAAAGACCAAAGAATATTAATTCCTGCAGTCACGAAAGCTTTAAGACAACATTGTAATCGTGTTTAATTTCGTTGGGTTTTTTTCTTCGTATGGTCTCATTTGGAAGTAGGGCATGGTATCGCAACTGCACTTACCATCTGGTTTTAAATTAAGGTTTTTGATTGAGTGATTAGATTTAGGGGCTTGGAATAGAGTGCTCATTATGATTGTAGGGCAAATTGCGTAGGCAATTTCACACACGATTTCTTCCCGGCAGTGTGCATGGGCTGTCCAGCAATGCCCCCAGCAGACCAAATGGCGTATTTCCAATTCACAGTCAATGGAGTGATAAGGGTCGTGGGTGCTAGGCATAACCAAAACCAAGCAAAGACATAACACCCCTAGGGGCTCAAGGGGTGCTCTGATTAATTAAAACAATATATGGGTACATCAAATAGCTCAAGTTCAAATGGTAATAAACATAACAGACTCATTAACATTAAATATAATTAATTATATCATTTCCATCGTGTCTGTATCTCTCTTCTCTCACCTCGTTGCGTCACTACAGTAGAACTTCAGTTATCCGGGGTAATGTGGGAGACACCTACCCCAGATGCAGTTATCTGTGGTGAGTTATCTTGTGTTTCACTCGGGTATCCAGGATTTGGACCCCAGATAAACCCCGGATAAATGGAGTTCTCACTCGTATAACTCGGGTTTACACCGGGGCATTTACCCCTGATAATTGGACAAACGCCCGCGCAGGTTTGACATTCAGAAATGGTTATGGCTTCATTGGCGACCTTTCGTGGGTGGAGCATGACAGCCGTGTCCAAACTGGAAATGACCACCAACGAATACAAGCCAAACTGTCCCCGTGTCACTATTGTTTACAATTTCCTGCCTTGCGAAAGAGACGATGGATATTCGTGAACCCTGATCATGTTAACTTCAAGATATTGGCTGCTTAAAATCAAATGCTAATTTTCCGGTTGAATCCACATATCTGCGTTTTCGCATCACCAAGAGCAGGCCAAACGTCCTGACGTTGTAATAGCTGCATACCTTTCAGCAACTATCATATCTCGTAATGCCCTCATTCGATTTCAAATCGTGTCCAGGGGTGATTCGTTACATTGTAATCTCTCCATTGTCTGTGAGACGAGCACCACCTGCCGAGGCTGCAAGCTCAGTGCAGAGAAGAAAACTGGCTGTGTAACGGAGAGATTGGGACCCGGTCGTTATGTCCTTGGTATTTTAGGGGCCGTCCATAAATGACGTCACGCACCTAGGGAGGGGGGGTTAGACATTTGTGACGATGTGTGACAAGGGGGGGGTGGGGGTTGAGAAATGTGACGTCACGTAAAAAATGTGCAACTTTAAATAAATATAGACAACACGTTCTACTTAATTAAATAGACTTTAGTAAATATTTTATCCTACAACATCAGAGTGCAGCGCCACATTAAATACACACTACAATGACAATAGTTTAAAGCGATTTGAAACATGTTTCAGTTGTTTTTTTGGGGGGGGGGCAGAGCTTTTTGACATCATATTTGAGGGGGGGTCTGACTTTTTATGACGCCGTGTGACGATGGGGGGGGGGGGGGTCCGAAATCGCGTGATGTCATTTATGGACGGCCCCTTACTACAAGTAAAGGTCACCGGTGCAAACAAGCAAGCCCCATGCACACTTGATTTGGAGTCACGTTGACACCACAGTGATCCCAATTGTATCCCTATCGCTGCATTAGGAGTTGTATTTCGAGATGAAAACTGTCAGCGAAGTTCTCAGAGTTGGGAAAAAATAAAGTACCACATATTGCTTTGGGAATGGCCTGGGAGGTGATGTCACTATGACTAGTGACGTCACACAAAATGTCGCCCTCGCCCGACATTCGACCGCGCACTTTCATGCTCTTTCGAAGGACGTTTACTCTGTATCGCTGATCATCCCGTGTTCAGGCTAAAGGGTGCAGCCCAGCAATCGCTTGCTGTTACTACTCATGGTGGAAGGGCCTCCATTGGTAGGGAACTTTAGAGAGCCTCCGTAGAGGGTATTTTGGCCTTCTCTTCCAGGCTGGACAGACATTTTGTATGCCGAAGTATCCCTCACTCAACCGCACCACAAGCAACCTGCCTATCGACTGTTGTGTCCCCAGTTGTACTCCTGGGCGGACAGAGGTGGAGGGGGGGGATTCAAGCCCATTGTTTCAACTTTTGACCTTTGGTTTTCTAACCTCTACACCACGACAACAATCTACATACCACGCATATGCACATAAACAAAGGTATAAAGTTATTTAAAATGCATTTAAACTATTCAAACTCTTTTTTATTTTACCAGGAAAGGCCCACTGAGCTATTTCGTTCTTTTTAAGAAGCGACCTGGCCACAAATGATAGCTCAACGAAGTGGCTTATCACGTGGACATTTATAGCAGCAAAGTACTCTAAAGGCACGTTTCTAAAAGGGGAAGGAACAAATGGAAGACGCGGAGAAAAATCCACACGCGTACCAGGCGAGGGAGTTAACATCTTGCCACCGCGCCGCCTTCTAGTCATTTCGTCAGCGACTCTAAACTAATGACGGCTCCTTCCCTCCCCGTGGCAGTGCCGTTCCAGGAGACGCCGGCGTATACGAACCGGCGGCGCCAATTCTCCACCACCTCCGCCGCCGCCGCCGCGGCGCCCGGCTCCGCCGCTCACTGCCGCAGCTTGGCTCGCGCCGAGAGCGAGAACAACCTCCTGTCCTCGTCCATCCGCCGCGGCACCGCCGGGCTCTGCGTCATGACCATCGCGGCCGGGCGCGCCGGCAACGGCGCGGGCGGCACCCGCGGCTCGGCGGGCGCCAACTGCGGAGCCGGGGCCCAGCGAGCAGATCAGTGGAGCGGCCCCGCACGCTCGCCCGCGCTCGCCGTGCGCGGCCTGCCGCCGCAGTTCCTCGGCCAGCTGGGCGGCAGCTCGGAGGGCAGCGCCCGCTCGGCCGGCAGCTCGCCGCGCTCGCGCAGCCGCTCGCCGTCGCTGCACCGCGTGGCCGAGGAGGAGGAGGCGGCGCTCGGGGCGGACAAGACGGAGCCCCCGTGCAGCGCACCTCCCGTCGGGATGGCCGCCGGTCGGACGGGGGGGGTGCCGGCGGCGTCTGCGGCAGCCCCGAATCATCAGCAGCAGCAGAGGCTGACCTCTGTGAGCACACAGCCGAAACCGGTGCAGAAGCCAGCGCCAAAGCATCGGAAAGTACATCGCAGGTCAGCGTTAAGAGTGTCACCAAGCTGATACGAATGCCAAGTGCTGTTTTCTGGGTTGGCTTCCCAAATTGTTTTCCAACTCCTAAAACTTCATTTGGATTCCAAGTGGATGCCACATACGTTTTAAAATAGTTCCATGAGGAGTGCGCAAGGGCTTGTTATCTTCACACTAGGAGCCCGGAGGCAATTTTGGAAATGCTGATTTCATTCATCTTTATCTCCAAATGAGAACGTTTGTTTACTTTTCATGAACATTTACTCCCTCGCCCTAGAGAGATGATGATGAAAATGAGGCTGAATTGATACTAATTGGCTTTTTTACGAATTCATTTACAAGGTCAAATTAATTTAACCCACCACCAACTCTGATCAAGGATGATCCTGAATCTACTTTTAATGAAAATCCCAATTGAAAGTATTTTCACATATGTGAGGTGTCACATAGTTGTAAGACGTCCTTCGGAGGTGTGAATTTGTATTCCAAATATAGAGCTCAGAGCACGTGTGACATTGAACTAGGGAACAATCCAGAAAAATAGGTTTAAAAAGTGCGTATTGGGCACATTCTCAGAAGTGAAGGTTAAAGAGGGAAGTTTTGGAATTGGTGTTGGGAAAGACGCCAAGGCGGTGGCGTAACATTCGGACACTGCTTTACAACTTGAAGGAAGGTGGAGGGGTGTGGGGTGCTTGCAGTGATATGAAGAGGAGAGCTCAAGGTTGGGCGGGTTGCAGGGAGCTTTGAGGCAAAGGCCCAGCCATTGCGCAAGAGGACTAAAAAGAGAGAGAGGCCTATTCCATTGCCACGGCAGTGTTGAGACTGCGCAGCAAATAATCCAAGTGAGAAGGAGCTCCACCCCGAGTAAGTCGTGAACTCAGACTTCATTACGTCTACAGCTCAGTGCGTCGCCCATCAGGGAATCACTCCTGCCAAGCGCCACCCCGAACCACCTTTCTATCCCCTCCTTTTATCTGCTCGTCTGGAACTCTTCGTGTCTCCTAACAGGTCCCCCAACTCACTATGAGATCTCTTTTACCAGTGGCAAAATATAATAGTAGGTTTTTACCCTTTTAACTGGTACAAAACTGACACCTTTATTCAAGGCATCATGTTTGCAATGACCACAACACAAGTAGTCAAAAAAGCAAACAAAAAGAAGCAACTCTGATAAGGATGATAATATGCACTGTCCTTGAAGTTGATTGGCCCACACCCGAGACGGCTTTCTTTAGAGCCTAGTCCCCATTGGTGTAGGGCCAGATGACACCAGAAGGCGTACAACTCAAACACAGTGCAATATCAGAGTATTGAGAGCTCGGGGTAAGCATTTACACTATGAGATCTCTTTTACCAGTGGCAAAATATAATAGTAGGTTTTTACCCTTTTAACTGGTACAAAACTGACACCTTTATTCAAGGCATCATGTTTGCAATGACCACAACACAAGTAGTCAAAAAAGCAAACAAAAAGAAGCAACTCTGATAAGGATGATAATATGCACTGTCCTTGAAGTTGATTGGCCCACACCCGAGACGGCTTTCTTTAGAGCCTAGTCCCCATTGGTGTAGGGCCAGATGACACCAGAAGGCGTACAACTCAAACACAGTGCAATATCAGAGTATTGAGAGCTCGGGGTAAGCATTTACACTATGAGATCTCTTTTACCAGTGGCAAAATATAATAGTAGGTTTTTACCCTTTTAACTGGTACAAAACTGACACCTTTATTCAAGGCATCATGTTTGCAATGACCACAACACAAGTAGTCAAAAAAGCAAACAAAAAGAAGCAACTCTGATAAGGATGTCAGTTTTGTACCAGTTAAAAGGGTAAAAACCTACTATTATATTTTGCCACTGGTAAAAGAGATCTCATAGTGTAAATGCTTACCCCGAGCTCTCAATACTCTGATATTGCACTGTGTTTGAGTTGTACGCCTTCTGGTGTCATCTGGCCCTACACCAATGGGGACTAGGCTCTAAAGAAAGCCGTCTCGGGTGTGGGCCAATCAACTTCAAGGACAGTGCATATTATCATCCTTATCAGAGTTGCTTCTTTTTGTTTGCTTTTTTGACTACTTGTGTTGTGGTCATTGCAAACATGATGCCTTGAATAAAGGTGTCAGTTTTGTACCAGTTAAAAGGGTAAAAACCTACTATTATATTTTGCCACTGGTAAAAGAGATCTCATAGTGTAAATGCTTACCCCGAGCTCTCAATACTCTGATATTGCACTGTGTTTGAGTTGTACGCCTTCTGGTGTCATCTGGCCCTACACCAATGGGGACTAGGCTCTAAAGAAAGCCGTCTCGGGTGTGGGCCAATCAACTTCAAGGACAGTGCATATTATCATCCTTATCAGAGTTGCTTCTTTTTGTTTGCTTTTTTGACTACTTGTGTTGTGGTCATTGCAAACATGATGCCTTGAATAAAGGTGTCAGTTTTGTACCAGTTAAAAGGGTAAAAACCTACTATTATATTTTGCCACTGGTAAAAGAGATCTCATAGTGTAAATGCTTACCCCGAGCTCTCAATACTCTGATATTGCACTGTGTTTGAGTTGTACGCCTTCTGGTGTCATCTGGCCCTACACCAATGGGGACTAGGCTCTAAAGAAAGCCGTCTCGGGTGTGGGCCAATCAACTTCAAGGACAGTGCATATTATCATCCTTATCAGAGTTGCTTCTTTTTGTTTGCTTTTTTTGACTACTTGTGTTGTGGTCATTGCAAACATGATGCCTTGAATAAAGGTGTCAGTTTTGTACCAGTTAAAAGGGTAAAAACCTACTATTATATTTTGCCACTGGTAAAAGAGATCTCATAGTGTAAATGCTTACCCCGAGCTCTCAATACTCTGATATTGCACTGTGTTTGAGTTGTACGCCTTCTGGTGTCATCTGGCCCTACACCAATGGGGACTAGGCTCTAAAGAAAGCAGTCTCGGGTGTGGGCCAATCAACTTCAAGGACAGTGCATATTATCATCCTTATCAGAGTTGCTTCTTTTTGTTTGCTTTTTTGACTACTTGTGTTGTGGTCATTGCAAACATGATGCCTTGAATAAAGGTGTCAGTTTTGTACCAGTTAAAAGGGTAAAGACCTACTATTAGGTCCCCCAACTTTCGATTTAAAGCTTTCGTGACTGCAGGGATTCATCTTCTTGGACTTTCGGTAAAGTCACGTAGAAGGGAAATAATGAAATAATAAAAATAAAACATAATAAAATACAATTCTCACGACGTTTCGAACACAACGCAAGCAGCCGCCCTCAGGTGAAGAACAGGGCTGTCGGAAAGACAGCGTCTGAATGAACACCACCAAGCTTGGCATCGTATATTTAAGCTGGGTTAGAGGAGGAGGGCGCCTTGACAAAGGAATTTGCATATCAACAGAGGGACCTAGCACACCCATGGAAAATACAGATATGGGACCAGTCACCACTTGTGGAATGTGCAGGCGACGGGGGGGGGCGGGGGCATCAAAGTCATACCACGCTCGTGCACCATGCAGGACCAGCAGCAATAAAGGGAGGAAGTAGTACCAGCAGGAAGTAGGACCCCAACCTTCCAATCAGATTGTGCGCCCTCGCCATGTGACAGCTCCTCGCCAATGAGAGTCGAGCGCTTGCCGTGTGTGAACTCACGAGCCGTTAGAGCCGGTGACTAATGTTTTATTTCTTAATTTTAGGGTTCCCCTATCGGGCGTCACCCTCAAAAAAGCACATCCGAGCCTCGTGGCAGTTCAAGTCTAGGAACCAGCAGGTGGCAGCATTGAATGCTTTAACACATTGTGCCTCACTCATTTTCCACTTTTCAGGGCCATGACTTAAAGCTTTTGTGACTGCAGGAATTCATATTCTTGGGTCTTTCAGTAAAGTCACGTAGATAGGTTCAAATAAAATGACAATTTTTGTTATTATTTTTGAACCTATCTACCGAAAGACCCAAGAATATGAATTTTCAGGGCAACTTCAAAGTGGCCACTTTCAGGGCCACTTTTCACCGATAAGACATAATCGGTGTGAGGGCTGCCGCACATTTGAAACCATTGGGGTTTGACAGCACAACGATGGGGTACTACAGGGGCCGCACGAAAGTCCACCAGGGGCCACGCTAAAGGCTGCCCAGTGGCCCGCGAAGAACACTGCGTTAACAGCATCTGAGCTAACGCGAGGTGCTTATGATGAATAATGGTTAAGGTTTTGTCAAAGAGGGGCATGATGTTAAGGGGGACATTTTTTGAACAGAAATTACATTTAGATTTTGAGAGGAGGGCATATTTTAATTATTTTTCGTCAGTTTGGATAATTCCTGAAACATACAACAAAAATACTTTCATTAATCACTAAAAAATGTTTTATGAATAAATATTATATATGTTATATATATCATTATAAAAATAAAATCACATTTTCAGAGTGACTGCTCGTGGGACAAGCTGCACCATACCTTCACACAAAAGCTAAGGTAATCCATATAGCCGTATAAATCTGTTGGGGCAAGTGCAGATAGTGAAATCACATTTACTTTTGTCTATACAGTAATTGCTCTATTATTTTTGTGGATTATATATAAATGGATCACCCTTTATATCACAAACACCGCCAAAGTGGATGGTGCAGTTATCCAGCTCAATAAGAACACACCACAAAGCACATCTATCCATGAAAACATGTATTTAAAAAAATACCCACAATGCTCCACACTACTGACACGACTACTGCATCGCCTTACTGGTTGAGATACCGAGCAAAGTACTGAGCAGACACCAGCTTGCAACTGCTAGAGCGCTTACACGTGGAATATTTTGCTGTCTGATTTTCTGTTTGCACATAGTCACTTGAAGATGTTTTCTTGTTCATGTTTTTGTTTCATGTTTTGGTTTTTTGTTTGTTGCGATTGCACCCGATTCAAGAGCCGAATGGCTCACAGGGTTATACCAAATAAATGAAACTGAAACTGAAACGTACACCATTCCGTGAGCACATTACACCAGTCTTCTTATCTCTTCATTGGCTACCGGTCAAATTCCGAGTGGAACTTAAGATGCCGCTATTAACCTATAAGGCTATAAAAGGTCTCACCCCGCATTACTTGCAGCAACTCATACATTTATATAATCCACCAGAGTTCTCAAGATGTTCTGACCTCCAACTGCTCAGCACTCCCAGGTATAGATGATCGGGATTTTGTTAGCGTGACACCCAAGCTATGGAACGTCTTGCCACTTGAAATCAGGCAATCAGAGTCGGCAGATATATTTAAGTCTGCTTGAAACTCCATCTATTTAAACTGGACTTCCCTCTTTAGTTCAGTCGGTTGCCCTGGTTTGTTTTTGTTTACTGATTTTCATGCATTGCGCATTGGGATCCTAGGATGGAATACGCATTATAAATTTGAAGTATTATTACTGCGTTGAATCTCTGTTAACAAAAAAACAATGTAATGATGCAATCGTATTTATGCCGTTGTGCATAATTCAAGGTCTCTCACAACTTCAAGTTACCAATTGTGTAACACCATCCCTCTGCTGGTGGCCCTGAGCCAGGCATAGAGATTTCACATTGTCACTGTGGAGGTCAGATTTTCCATAGGCCAGCAGCCACTGTTGACTTCCCATCGTTGTAGTACATTTGAGCTGCTGTCCACTATCCTATTACCCATGTCTCTTCCTATCCATGGGAGCTGTAGGGCCAATGAAAACTTCTATTTTCCGTGGCCGTATTCTTCCTACTATTTACAATTTAGCGGTGAATGTTTTTTTAATCCATGAAAAAGTGGAATATATTTTCGGATAGCATCGCGGATAAGAGGATCCACGATGTCAGTAGCCCCACATCGCCCGCATTGCTGGTACTTACTAATCAACAAGAGAGCTCAAACAAGACAGATAGTACAGAGGAGGAAACCCCGCATGAACCAGATGGTACAAACGAGAAAAAAAAAACGTCAGCTATTCCTCAATCACATTGTGACCGTGACAGTTGATGACCTGGTTCTACAGTCGGGAGGGGTGGGGTGTGAATCATTTGACATCGACTGCTTTCTGCGTTTAGTTTGTTGTCCTTCCCCCGCAACCCCCCGATTAGCACGGTTTTCTACGTACGGTGCAAATGAGGTTCGACATACGTACACGCGTACTGATGGCCATCGTATTCTCCTTGCAGCGCCAGCCTGGCTGGAAAGGACCACCTCCCCATCGTGAGCCAGGCCATGAGCCAGGCCCAACCGTTCACGCTGATGGCCCCTCCACCTGGCAGAGGGGGTCCCAAGCACCGCCTCTACAGCGCCGTGCCCGGGCGCACCTTCGTGGTGGTGCGGTCCCACCAGCCGCAGGGCGAAGGGGAGATCTCGCTGAGCCGCGGGGAGAGAGTCAAAGGTGAGGATGGGGGCGCCGTGGCGGCTTGGCTCATTGTGGCCGCGTCTTGAGCCTCTGAGCCGGTGACATGAAGCAGTTGCTGTCGAGCGACGATCCAGCACAGCGCTCACTAGTTCAGTCCAGTCCCGTACTCATCGGCGGGCAGTCATCTGCTATCACTCTTCTGTCGCAACTGCCGGTAGTTGATTGACCTCTGAACCTTGCTCAGTGATTCCTTCACCTGTTTAAGGACTCAGTTTATCAGACTGACGGTTTAGTCCCATCGTCCACGCCCTGTTTAGCCACCCCCCTGCGGGCCACAACACTTTCTCGTTCCGCTTCTTTGCTCGCACTGCTCGACTTTGGAGGTTCCGCTGAGAATTTTATTTTCCGAAACTTTGTAACCCTGCTCAATTCAAGACGCGTGTTACCCATCATCTGTTTAACACTTAGACTTTCGCGACCAATATCATCCATGAAATAGTTTTTTTTAGGTTAGAGCGCCTGATGATGCTAGTTGTAATTACTGGCGAAACGTCGTACTCAGATGGTAAATGTTGTGGATTTGCTCTCCAACACACCGGTGTGCTGTACGAGTAACGAATTGGCATGTTCTATTTATGTGACAAACCATACAAATTGGCTGTGTCGGGTGGTGGGGGGGGGTTTAACAACACATTTATATTTACGCGATCTACCCAAAAACACTTGTAATTTACCCATCATCCATTACATCCCGAAGAGCACTGTTTGTAAGTGGCTGCGTCCACTTTGGACATTTGGGCCTGTGTTCAATGACCGTGATCTAAAAAGAAAGCACTGCTGAGATTATAGTTTCAAGCCCTTCGATGCTGGGTGTCTCTTTTGGTCTCTAAGGGGGTCACATTTTGTGAGGCAGTCACTGAGCCAGCGCTGCTGTTGCAGATGATGAGATAGCTCTGTTTGAGATACTGGGTTCAAGCCTTGAAAGTGTTTATTCTTCACCAGCACCTCGCAATGGCTGTGCCAGAGCCACTGAGCTGGTACTGTGTAGATAGATGCTGCTTTAAAGCCATGGACTTTGTGCTTCAGTTTGTTTAGGTGTTTATAATGGCCATGTCAGAACTCTTGAGCAAGCTCCGCTGAGCTCAAAAATTGGACTTGTCAAGAATCCAATATTGACCTGTTCTCCCTTACCTGGCCTACACGTGGTCACTTTTAAATAAAAAAAAATAACGGATAGGGTATTTGCATAAATTAATGCTTTTTTGTGTCCCTTATTTTTCCAGATGCTCTGGTTTCCTCCCACATGTAAAATCCCTATAATTGTCTGATAACACCTTCATATACAGAGTACCGCAGAGCTTGGCCAATTGTTGGCATCGGCTCCTCGTGTGGCCACCTTCATGGGGTGTCTGTGGTTCCTCATGCATCCGAATCATTTTACTTCTGCGAGAGCGAGCGGATACTGTGAATGTTAATAGTTGAAATAATGATGGGTATTGATCCAGGTGAGAGACCATTGGGTTTCACAGACCTCGGAAACTTTAGCCAAACCAACAGAGGTTTGTGCTTTGGGACTGATGATGTTCACTCTTAATGGCTAAACAGGAGCACGCTTCATATGCTCCAAACAGCCACAAGGCGGCACTTGAACGACACTGTGAATCTTTTCTGCACTCAACGTGCAGTTAGGGATGCCGGTGAGATGGAAATGGATCACAATTTCGATTTAAAGCTTTCGTGACTGCAGGGATTCATCTTCTTGGTTCTTTCGGTAAAGTCAGGTAGAAGGGAAATTTTATGATGTATTTTATTACGTTTTATTTTTATTATTTTATTATTTCCCTTCTATGTGACTTTACCGAAAGAACCAAGAAGATGGATAACAATTGTTGGAGGCAATCGAATTACAAGTTTCAGTTTATGTATTTATTATCATAGTAGCTCTCATTTTAACGTAACTTTTAAAAATTCATGATGAATGTACATTTTTGAAGAATGTGTATGTGTATTATAACAATGTCACGTGGACATCGTCTGCAAATGCTATTTGTCCAGGTTGCGAAGCAGTAGCATGCCCGAGTTACAATCAGCTGTGAGTTCAAATCCCAGTCGAGGGTTCACTCAACCCATTTCTGATAAATCAACAGTGCTTGTCCCATGGATAGACGGTTCCCAGCCATTAATAAAACGTGTAATTTCCACCACCGGTTTTGGCTCAGCGGCAGAAGAAGAAAAAACCACTGCCTCATTGCTCACTTGAGGAAAGGAAACACCTTGTCTTGATTAATCTAGAAATGTTAAATAAATCATTTGAAACACCTAAAGCTACAACAAAACCCTTGCTTCCGATTGTGGGGTTCCAAGCAGCCACGAGGTTACGAGATTACTCGCTACACTCAATCCTTGTCAAGGCATTGTTTCCATGGCAACCAAGTGTCGGCTGACTTCCACGTTCGGGCCAAGGAAATGTGCATGTCCTTTCCCCCCACCGCTCTAATGGGTTGTCCATAAATGACGTCACGCAATTTTGGACGATTTTGCCCCCCCCCCCTCTCGTCACACGGCGTCACAAAGTCTGACCCCCCCTCAAATATGACGTCACAAAGCTATGCCCCCCCGCCCCCCCCCCCAAAAAAATAAAACATGCATCAAATCGCTTTAAACTATTGTCATTGTAGTGCGTATTTAATGTGGCGCTGCACTCTGATGTTGCAGGAGAAAACATTTATTAAAAAGTATATTTAATTAAGTAGAACGTGTTGTCTATATTTATTTAAAGTTGCGCATTTTTATGTGACGTCACATTTCTCAAACCCCCCCCTCGTCACACATCGTCACAAATGTCTGACCCCCCCTCCCCCCTAGGTGCGTGACGTCATTTATGGACGGCCCCTAAGTCAACTTAGTGATTTGCCCGTGAAGAGCTCTCTCCAAAGTTAAAACTGAATTAAATAAGGGGGCCAATGTTGACTCTGCCGTTGATGGCCGCATGCCGGCAGTCAACATCTCACATAGCCGATGTCATTTTGAATATTTTTTGCCACTGGAAACATGACAGGCGTCATTGAGATGTTACAATTCGACACCTGGGAGTCGTTGGATGTGGCTAAGACATGTGAGGCTCGTAATGCCAACCTAACACATCCTGGCACAGCATCCATAATAAGAAGATGCTGTTGTGTGCATGTGTGTGTGTGTGTGGGAGGTTATAGGCTATAGAAATGTTTTCTCCCAGCAAGTACATTCAGACCCTCGTTCAGAAATCTGCAGCATAAAAAATATTTCTAAACTGGTGGCTGCGTCCATATGTACGTTGAGCTTCTTTCGTCGCCATACGTAGCCAACCGTGCATATCGGAGGTGCGGGGGAAGGACAACAAACTAAACACAAAAAGCAGTTCTAAAGAAATGAGTTTTCAATCTAGATTATTTAAAAGCGCATAGCTCCAGTGGCTTCCTTATATCGGAAGGAAGAGCGTTCCAGACGTCCGCAGAAGTGCATCTGAAAGTGCGAAATGCAGCGACCTTCTTTGTAAACAAATGTACCAGAGGGTACATATAAATAAATAATAAAAGTGGGTACATTTGTTTATTCATAACATATCAGTGGATACATTAATTGGTGAGACACTACCGCCCATGGGGGGTGGTAGGTGGGAGGGAGCATGCTTATGCCCATTGCCACCACACCTCACAACTGCTTCGCACAGCAATGCGCCTCACCATCAAGGCCGGCCCCAACAGTGTCCCCGCACCGTCTCGCTTTAGCTCGTACCTCTGGTCACCGGCCTCTGGGTGCCACTCCAATGGGCATCTTGATAACCTGCCCACTTCCACGCGGTAAATGTAAATGACAACTATAAAAAAAGTGTTTTTTGTATTTTGCCAGGTAACGCCCACTGAGCTTTATAGCTATTTTTTCAGAATCGACCTGGCCACAAATAAAGTGTCTCATCACGTGTAATTTAATAGCAGCCAAATTACTCTAACCGCGTGTTTCTAAATGTGGAAGGATGAACCAGAGGACCTGGGGAAAAGCCACACGACCACAGGGAGAACATGCAAACTCCAAATATACTGCAGATGTCAGCCTCGGGATCAAACCCACGACCTCCTGTATACGAGGCGAGAGTAGTTAACATCTCACCACCCTCGGAACACCTCCCTGATTACATCTGCAGTGCTCTTGTGCTGTGTTCAATTTCAAATTTCCAAGTTGCTCATCCTACCCTGTTATGAAATTCATTGCTTTCCTCCTCCACATGCAGTTACAACTCATAAGTATAAGTTGCTTTTCTATCCGTTTTGTTATGATACAGCAATCTGATCCACATAGTAACACAGATATTGAAATTGCTTGAAAAATCCATCTTTCAACACTACATTTAACCTCTCTACCCTTCCAAATTGAATAGAACTACAGAAATATGGCCATCAAGTGATACAAATATCACATTATCATCATCACTATGATCAGCCATGTTCAGTCCACTGCTGGATGAAGCCCTCCCCATGCCACCACCACCATCAGCCACAGTCAGTCCACTGCTGCATGAAGGCCTCTCCAAGCCACCACCACCATCAGCCACAGTCAGTCCACTGCTGCATGAAGGCCTCTCCAAGCCACCACCATCAGCCACAGTCAGTCCACTGCTGCATTAAGGCCTCTCCAAGCCACCACCATCATCAGCCACAGTCAGTCCACTGCTGCATGAAGGCCTCTTCAAGCCACCACCATCATCAGCCACAGTCAGTCCACTGCTGCATGAAGGCCTCTCCAAGCCACCACCACCATCAGCCACAGTCAGTCCACTGCTGCATGAAGGCCTCTCCAAGCCACCACCATCAGCCACAGTCAGTCCACTGCTGCATTAAGGCCTCTCCAAGCCACCACCATCATCAGCCACAGTCAGTCCACTGCTGCATGAAGGCCTCTTCAAGCCACCACCATCATCAGCCACAGTCAGTCCACTGCTGCATGAAGGCCTCTCCAAGCCACCACCATCATCAGCTACAGTCAGTCCACTACTGCATGAA